ACGGGGATCAAAGTTACAACCTAGCACTTTACAGGCAGGTATTTCTGCCTGCTGAGCTAAATCCCTGGCCTGTATTAATGAATATTTTTAAATGCGTAAACATCACTTTATTCATTCAAATACTATTGTGATTTTAGCAAAGGATGTCAATGTAGACAGAAATTGATATACAATCAGAGAGGAACTGGAACCTCAAAGAGTCAATGTAAAAAACTAAATACAACAATCACTGCTACAGGCACAGCTGAAGAAAGCCAGACCTGAAGGTGAAGATGCAGTGACCAGGTCTACATGCTCCTGAAGAGAAAAACAACAGCTTGAAATGTACTACAGTTACCACCACCTCCTCCAGGAAGTCCTGATAGGCATCAATTACCATACTCAATGACCAGAACAACTGGACTATTGTTCCTACAAAATGCCTTGGCTCTTTTCATATACCTTTTCTGCCTGACTTGTTCCCCTGTTGAATAATATTAGTTAAGCAGCTATAAGCTTATAGGTTGATTGCAGTCTGAGACCCACACTGTACCCACATTATGACTTTCCTGTATAAATGACCCTGACAATAGGTCTGTGGCCAAAACACAGAAGACCACTCCTGAAAATTCAGGGCTATTCTTCTCTCTTTTTTTCTAAGAAAAATTTTGAACTTCTTTTGGTTTGTGACTTCCTTTCTCAATGCTGTGAGCCATTAAACTTTGTGCATTTGACATCAAACAAGGCAGAATTATATTTCTCTTATTTCAATTTAAATATGAAATGTCTGCTAAAGGCCATGTTCCAAAGCCTGGATTTCAAGCTCCTTGTTTGCCATGAGCTTAACATTTCCATGAGCTTTTAGAAGTCCTCAGTCTAGTGAACTTCAAATGTATTGAAGGAAGGTGGTCACTGTTGTGCAGTAGCACAATAGGTGCCATTCCTAAATCTTTGTTTGTCACTGTCTCTTGGATGCTACTACACGGCATTCCTTCCTGGGCATCATAATTCAATAATTCCCATTTTGCATAAGTCAGCTTTCACTCAGCTCTATTATTGTTTTTTTTTTTTAATAGTCTTTCTGTCTCCTTGGTTGTTTATTTTTTTCATTTTAGTTTTTTGATTTAAAGACATAATCTCACTTTGGAGTTCCAGCCAGCCTTGCACTCACTATATAGGTTAGGCTGTCCTTGAATACATGGCTATTCTCCTGTTTCAGCTTCTTCATTGCTTGGTAAAAAAAGCTCAATCTCCACTCCATTATTTACTTTTTTATTTTTATCCTTTTAATTAAAGGAAAAAAATAGCAGGATATATTATAGTAATCCACTTTGATTTTCCATTAACTCATTTTAAAGCCCTGTATTACTCTCACCATCTTGTTTTTGACTGATGTTCCCCTATTCTGTTTTGCTGGATAGTATCAGGTTCGAAAGTGTAAGCATCAGCTGTGAAGATAATGCGATTCATTATAACGCCCATTCTCTTTGACTTTTATCTACTTTTGAAGACCTGCAATGTCTCCAATGTTTTGGTTTTGTCAGTTTTATTCTTTACTGTTTTGTTCAATTGTATTATAACTAATGATATAGGCAATTCTATTAGAGATAGCAGGAGGCATTGTGATAACCATTGTTGATCACCTTGTATTATGTTTTTACATTATCTATTATGTTCACCCTATTGACTTGACCGATTTTGTTCTGTTATGTCACATTTGGATTTACTCTCTTCCAAAAAAGTAATAAGAACCGTGGGAGCAATGAAACCCAAAATGTGTAATAGTCATTGTACAAAAGAGAGGAAAAGAAAGTGCTCTAAACTATATAACTGCATGTATATTTAAGTGTATGAGATAGAAAATGATATCACAGAGTTTTATTGGATCATTGAACAGAACTGTTTGCAGTATCATTGTTGGAATGTCCACTTTACAAGCTTTAATTTTATGACTTGAAAAATTATTTTTAAGATGACAATATGTAATCCATTAACTAGTGATTTCCTACTGTTTATTTTTTTTTCTGTAAATCTGTATAACTTGTACCCTTTCTCTGCTTTTTTTTTCTTTTCTCCTTAAATAAAATAAAAAAAAAGAGGTGGGCATCATAGCACATGGTGTTTGTCTTTTTTCTCCTCTCCTTTTCACAATTATTCTTTCATTTCAGTGGCACTGTCATTTAACCCTGGTGTTTGCTTGTGTCAGTAAAAGTTTCTGCAGCTTGAGTTGAGTTTGTGAACAACAACATAGGGAGCCAAGCAACCCAATTGGAAATATGGAATTTCATTAGCTGGTCGCAGGACCACTTGTATACAGAACCCCCACCTCCATTTCAAGATCTAAACAACAGGCTTTGAACTGGAAAGTTAGAGATGTTTTAAAAGATAGAATCACAAAAAGATCTGTTGGAAATCATTTAGCTAGAATCTTATAATAATATTTGGATGACAACTGTATTCTGCTTCTTCTGTTGAGCAGGTTGATTTTTTTCTTTGGGTACAGCTCATTTTGCTTTTCTCCTGGGACTTCTACCCTGAGTGATTTTCCATTATTCTGGGTGAAATACAGGGCACTAGTTAAATGCAAAGCTCAAGATGGCATCTATTATGACAAGCTACAACACAGCTAAGTTACAAGCCTCAATATTTTCTAGGGTAAAAACACTCATATCTATAATCCCAGCACTCAAGAGGCTGACACAGGAGTGCTGCTTTGAGGTTAGGGCAATTCTGCGCTCCATAAGGGGTTCAAATCTAGCAGATATACATAGAGAAAACAAAACTAAATTAAACAAATAAAACCAAACAAAACAGACTGATTTCTTCAAATCTTAGTTCCATATCTTGGGGATTAATTTTTTATATATACACATTTTTTGAGACAGCAAATTTGATGCTATATTGCAACTCACCGCTAATGTAACAGCCACATAGGAGCATTGATTCTTATGCTGAGTCACTGCAAGAGTCACTGCGCACTGTCTCTAATGCAGAGCTCATAGTGAGAGCCTGCAAGACCAGCATCCATAAAGCACAGAGGCAGACAAATATCTCATCAATCACTTTGATGTACTACAAATGATATCTCTTCAAATCTCAGTTAGGCCACTGAATCCTTTGTTCTTAATATACTTAAGCCTCATTTTGATATTTGAATTTGGTTTCACAGAACAAAACATAAATAACATCAAATATGGTACATAAATAATAACTCAAATGTTCATGGAAAACTACTGTATGTAAAAATCTTATAAGCAATGAAACCAGGTGCAAGCTTCAAATTATAGCTCAGTGTCAACAAGTGATCACTTTCCATTCAGATAGAAATATATCTTGGGAGGCTGACACAGGAGAAATGCCTTGAGTTTGGGGCTAGCCTAAGTTACAGAGCTGCCTGACATAGAGAAACCCTGACTGAGACACCCCACAGACAATGTGAAACTTGAAAAGTGACTGCATAAGACACCTTTGGTTTGCTTCAAAAAATTATACCTATACAATATAGAAAAATTCCAAAATATTCAACATTTTCTGAGGAACAAGGTTGGTTATCATCCACAATATACAGAAAGCACTTTCAGAGCTGGGTATTTAGCTCAGCAGCGTAAAAGCCTAACTGGCAAGCTTGAGATCATGAGTTCGATCCTTGGTACAAAAAAAAAAAAAAACATTCAAATTTCACCTTCATGATACTGGGTAATAGAGATAATCAAAACTAGATCTCAAGTGGAGAACACAGAATTCATGGGGTGACCGGGATGTGGAATACTGATTGTTGCCAGAGCATTGTTATTCACCTCAAGGAAGATATCATAAGACAACTTTAACTTCATGTTTACCCTAAGAACTACCTGACTTTCAGTGAAGACCCTCTCTGTTGTATGTTTCAGTGAAGACCCTCTCTGTTGTATGTCCTGCTATTTGCACACTGTTTCCTGCCGGTCACTTCCACATCCTTTCCATGCTTGTCTGATCCACCCTAAGCAGGAAACCTTTCATGCCTAGACTATTGATATCCCTGCACAATTTCAATTTAGGGTATCTCCTTTACACGAATTAGTAAAGTCCATTACAGAGCATTTCCATATTTAAACAATGTATATGATCAACCAAGCTATTAAATCAGCTCTTAATTCAGAGATGGCACCCATATTCCTTTCCATTCAGAAGGATATCACGTGTATATGTTCATGCAAATGACTACATTTAGGCATTTTTCAGTGAGAATTTCACCGGCAGCCCTTTCTGGAATTTGTCTTTAGTGAGCACACTTTACCCTGCCCTTGATGACACTTTTATATCTGCTTTATTTTTCTCAAAATTCAAACCTCTATGGCTGTTCTCACAAAGATAGTCTATGAGCACATGTGTCACATAAAGTATGTTCAGAAATTCTTTGCACTGTTATTTATAGTACACAGGAGTTCACCCCGTGTTTGGAAGGCCTTCCTCCACTGAAGCACATCACTACACATCTCTGAATTCTTATGATTTTGCCAACACCTGTCATGAGGTTGAAAATGCAAGAACATACCATAAATTTAGGCAATTCCTATAAATACAAAAAAGTACAAGTTTAAAGAGTGCTGTTATGGATATGAAGCCCTGCATTACATTGCATACATTTATAAACTTTAGAACATCAAGATTGCTGATCCCTGGAGTGAGAGCAGAGACCAAGCTCAGTACTGCTCCAGCTACAAAATGCATCAGAGTCAGGGGCTTCCCAAGCTCCTTCCTCTGCTACTTATGATGGAGGTTCCAGGACAGTAGAAAATTTCAAAGATGATACTCCAGTCTGTTGCTATCATAGTTAATTCAGAGTTCTGGGAACACAAAATCATCCTTGCTCCCAGCAGGAGAAAAAAGGGAAAGTGGATGACCCAAGGCCAATGCTAGAAGACCTCAGGAGCTGAAGTTAACTAAATACCTGAGTCTGCAGATACCAGAACTGCTTCTAACTACTTGTAACGGTTTCTCCCAATTCCACCCTATTTCTGGCCTCCCATCCAAAGCCTCACCATTCCGTGGCTAGAGGGTCTCCCAGGTTCTTTGCTAGTCAGGCCACAGGACATCGAAACCAGTAAATGAGATCCAGCAAGCATTCTCCTCCCAGTTTTGTATTCCAAACAGGTAAACAATGTCTACACACCGGAAGAGACCCAAGAGACCTCCTCCCACGGCTCGCCTGATTGGACATTTCATGTAGCCCGCCTCTTCATCACTGATTGACTGCTGCTCTACTTTCCTCCTTCTGAGTCAAAAATAAACATGGAAAGGAACTCCTTCCTGCAAGAGAGGATCCCAAATGATAGACAGTAGTCAGAGACTTCTGTAGCTGGTTGTCTTCAACAGTATTGATCTCAGCTACACAGAGGAATATGTGTACCAAATTACCTTACCTCAGCCTTTCATTTCCAAATCCATTTCATTTCAAGAATAAAAAGAAAAAATGAACTAAAACTAAATTTCAAAACATGTGAATCAGGGGGCAACACTGCTATATATATTGCACACTGTTATCCCGGATCATTCACCCAGAGCACTCGACATCTGCATTCAATTTTCCTAAAACTACTGTTGTGTGGAGTTGAGTTAGTTAATTATGATTAGCAACGAGACAGGGCTGGGTCCTCTGAGGAGCCCATGCAGAAATCCAGATACATTGCAAATATGGAAAAGATGGACAACTCCTGCTATGGAAGATCAACAAATTCATCCATATCGTAAGGACTGATATTCTAAATAGTTCCCTAGCCCTCTGAGGAAATCAGGAGTCACCCTTCAAAGAAATGCATCTTTATCCTAAAGACTGACATTCTAAATAGTTCCTATCATGCTGATGAATAAGGAGTCACCCTCCCAAACCCCTAAGGGAGGATTCACTGCTGCCTAAGAATGCCTGCTTTCTGTGTGACTCCCTTCACCCTTTGTTCCCAATTTAATCAACTTTACCTGAACTATTAATCTTATTGGCTACCATAGCTCTGTCCCATCTTATTCCCATCTGCATTGTGAGTTCCCAGTTTTCCCAACCTTCCACCCAACTCACCACCTGATTTTACTCTATAAAAGTCCTTGGAAAAGACAGTCTTTGCCAACCCAGTCAGGATGCATTTGCTCTCTCTCACACAGCTTTCTTTCTCCCAATAATTACATTATCTTGACTTCTATTTTTTCTAAAATTCATTTTTTGACTTCAGAGAACACAAACTCAAACCAGACATAGTAGACCTGGAGTTTCATTAACCTATAGCAATAACAGTGTCAATTTTTTTCTTTCTTGAAGTCAGAGAAATCTGTAGATGATTGCAATCCTAAATGTTGATCTCAACTCTTAAGGGACATTCGTATTGAAGGGTTTTACCCCGGCCTTTTAGTGCTGCTTCTGTTTTCTGAAAGTGAACTGATCTGTAGTTTTGTTTATGCAATCTACAATGCATTGAGGAAATGAAGAGATACTTTCCTTGTGAATTGTTTACCACTAACCGTGGGAGAAGACACATAGCAAAAATTCTTTATTTTCATTTTTTAATTTAAACTTAAAAGATGTACTTTAAAGAATTTTGCCCTAGAATAAATTACAGAACATCATGGAAGTAGTTCATCGGGGTAAAAGGTCAAGTCAGGGATGCTTACCTATATGGCTACTTCCTCTTTTTTTCCCTGAATACAACTTCCTCATTCCTTTCCAAGGGGCCAAAAGAAAATTCCAATCAGCTCCTTAAATAATATCAGTGTCAGTGCCAGCACCACCAAATTTCATATATACCCTATAATCCCATAATCAGTCAGAAGAAAAGGCAAGCCCTTGGTGGCTGTAGGCTCCTCTCCACATTCTTTAAACAGAAAGAACACTTCTACTTTTTCTTATATTCTGTGAAAGGGTTTTGGCCCGGATAGGACTTTGTAGCTGGGAAACCATCAACCATAAGCAGGAAGCCCCTATCTCCCCGCCTCTAGGAATTTACCTGTGATGCCATCTTCCTGCCCCTGGAAATTTACCTATGGCGCCAAACCTAGGACTAATGGGCTACCTGTGCATTAACAATGCCCTCCTTAGGTTCCACCCCAAACCGAGTCTATACATCCCCCCACCCCACGTGTCCGCCAGAGAGATCACTGGACTCCAGAGGTGGGGGGTGCCAGTCATCTCTCTCCATGTTCTCAGAATAAAGACCTCTTTTCGTTTTATACTTCTCATCTTTTGGAAATATTTTTCATCTTTTAGAAATAATCCTATTATTGTGCTTCTCTATTGGGCCACAAAATCATAACAGTACTGATTCGTGTCTATGTATGAAGCTAATTTACCTCCTCAGTAATTCACATGCTCTATGCCATGAGTATCCAGTGGAAATTAATGCAGTGGGCTTTTGCTTCACTCTATCAGTGTCAATGCAGTGAGCTTACTCCTAAGATAAAAATAAATCTTCATACAAGTTTCAAAACACAATTTTGCATCAAAATATAGTCAAGGTCCTTTCAATAATATAATAGAAGCCTTCTAGAAACTGAAAAAATACACAGTTTATCTAATTAAAAATTGTTCAAGCAGCCAATAGTGTTGAAATTTTTCTGAACAATTATAGGTGATGAAAGGTTTGGCCCAGACAGGACACTGTAGCCAGGAAAGCCACAACCAAAAGCAGGAAGCCCCATCTTGCCCTGCCCCTAGGAAGTTACCTGTGACGCCATCTTCCCGCCCCTGGGAATTTACATATGGCGCCAAACCTAGGACCAATGGGCTACCTGTGTATCCCTAATGCCCGCCTTAGGTTCCACCCCAAACCGAGGTTATTTACAGGCCCCCACGCCGCGTGTCCACCGGAGAGATCGCTGGACGCCAGCGGTGGGGTGCCGGTCATCTCTCTCCGTGTTCTCAGAATAAAGGCCGCTTTTTATTTTATATTTCTCATCTTTTGTTAATATTTTTCATCTTTTGGAAATAACTCTATCATTTGTTGCCGTGACTCGATCGGCAGGCAACTAACTCTTGGGCCACATACCCAGCGTTTCCTCGCCGATAATCAGATAACATCCTGGATTAATCCCGAGCTTTTTCCTCTCCCGAGACGTTCCTGTCGCCAGCTGCCTGCACTCCGCATCGGCCAGACTGATTTCAGGTGAGCACTCCCTGGGGAACTTTTCGCACTGGGCAGCCCCAGTGGAATGTTCTCCCCGTCTGCGTGGGTCTGTGCATTTTCACGTCCTTAGGACCGCCCAGGGCAGGGTTCTTTCTGGGCAAACCTGCGCCCACAAAATCTCTCACGTTCTTTGGGTTCGGATAGCCCAAAGCAGAGATTTTTGGGGCCGCCCACACTGAAAGAATGCCTCACTTCCCTTAAAGCCTTGCGCTTTCACGGGCAAAACTGTTACTGACCCCACGTAGACTCCATTCGTAAATCTCTCAGTGACGACTGGAGTTTACGGTTTGGAACCGTAGCTGCCGCGTGGTACCACAAATAAGTGACGACTTTTTTCTGGACCTCCGGTTTTTTTTCCTTGCCTGAATCAGTCATGGGGAACGTATTTTCTAACTCCCAAAAGACGCCTTTACAATGCCTAATTTCTAATTTACGTACTCTAAAAATTAAAGGTACCATAAAAACTAAACAACTAACTTTTTACTGCCAGGAGGTCTGGCCAACCTACCCGCTTATCGGCAAGCCTTGGCCCAAACAAGGAACATTTGACCCCTGCATTCTCAGGAACTTGTACGATTTTTGTCAAGCTGGCAACAAGTTATTAGAACTCCCTTATGTCCAAGCCTTTCTTATTCTGAGAACACGCCCATCTCTCATTAAGTCTTGTGCTCCAGCTGAGATACTTTTAGCTAAGTCTACTGCGCTGCAAACTTTTCCTTCCTGCCCTCCATTGTTTTCCCGGCCGCCGCCTGCCTACCACCAAACTTGTTCCCTGCCGTTACCTCCCGCTGGACCGCGCTCTCCTCCCCCTATGCCTGATTCTCTCAGCAGCTCTAATCCCTCTCCATTGCAGATACCTCCCACTGTACGATCGTCTCCCTCTCCGCCTTCCAGGACCCATAACTCTCCCAGCAGCTCTAATCCCTCTGTGTCGCAGTTATCTCCCGATGTTCCATCCTCTCCCCCACCTTCTCCTGGGACCCATAACTCTCCCAGCGGCTCTGATCCCTCTGTTAGTGCTTCCTCTCAGTCTCTGACTTCTCCTGAGAATTCTGTATCCCCTACAGCATTCTCACTGCCCGCCCACCATACTAGGTCTTGGTCGCTATGTCCTTCCAGCAGGTCGCGTGATTGTTCCAGCTTGCGCAGGGAACAGTCACCATGTTGCAACCCTCTGCCACATGGCATGGCGCCGCCATGTTCCGGAGGGCCACATGGTGACAGGGCGCCGCCATGTTTTGGGTCACGTGACAGGGCGCCGCCATGTTTCCAGGGTCTTCACTGTCAACAGGCGTCTCCTTGTGGCTCCTCTTGTGAACTGCAACAGCCACCCTGTTGCAGTGCACATGACGCTTCATTGTGCTGCCAACAGCAGTCCTCTAGCTGCAAGGCACACAGTGAGACACCATCTGCTCGTGTTTCCCACGGTGACCGGCAGCAGCTCTGTAGCTGCTCTACAGATGATTGCTCACATGCGCCTACTGGAAGGATGGCTGCCCAATGGCCCTGTGCTCTGGAATCTTCTCCTCAGGCTCTGCTACCACGTCGGGAGCAAGCTGGCCCCGAGAGAATTGTAAACATCCATGTGCCTTTTTCCCTTTCTGATCTATCCCAGACTGTCCATAAATTAGGTAGCTTTTCTGTTGACCCACAGAATTATATCAAGCAATTTGAATTCATTACTAATTGTTATGATTTACGTTTTAAGGATGTTTATGTGATTCTAGATACCTCTCTCATCTCACAAGAACGGAATCAGCTGTGGTAAGCAGTTCGAGAAAAAGCTGATCACAGACATGAGGTAAACACCGCTGGTAATGACTCTAGGCCTATAGCTGTGCCAGAGCAGGACAAGCATACTAACCATAAGAAACTTTTAAAACAGGTCCAGGAGGCTAATCAAAACCCAGCTGTGTTCCTAAATTGGCTTTCTAATCCTCGCGCCCTGCAAGCAGTTCCAGCTTCGCGCGCTGTGTCGGGCCGCCTCTCAGGCCCTCCCCCATGCGCCGTTCCAGCCCCTCCCTCCCCTGTGCGCCGTCATCGCCGCCGCTGTCACCTTACACGTTTCCGGGGGCAGTCTGAGCCCGCCCCTGCGCGCTACATCTCAGTGCTTGTCCCGCCCAC